TGAAACTTCAAAGGTTCACTATCGCTAGGGAGCTCCTGCCTAGCATGTTCAAATCCTAAGAGTGACCTCTTTATATTTTCTTAACTTTCACTAGGTGAGCATTCCTTCTCCTTTCTACATGCAAACTTGGTCTCTGATGCTCTTCTCACCTTGTACCACACAAAGATTTCTCTTTTAAAAAAAAAAACAAACCACCTTGTAACATCTGTACTGTCACACTGATTTCCTGGCAATGATCTGATTCTCGTGGCTGAGTTAAAACACTTAGTATTCAGCCTTTTCCTTCTTCCTTCTCAGGAACTAGGTTATTATTGCCTCATAAAGCAGTGCCTGGGTGGCATTACTAGCTAATTAATGTCTATTTAGTGTAAAGGGCTGCAGCCACCTTCCAGCCCCTACAGGCATTTTTTCTTCGTCTCCTTGACAGGACCAGATGGCATTCTGACCAACCTTCGCCCACCCTTCATGAACCATGCACTTGATTCAGACAACACATCTAGCAGCTTTGGAAACACATTACCATCACAGCTGGACAGATGCTAGAAGAGTGGTTGTTACTGCCCCAAACAATGGGAAAATTAATTACTTCAATTAAAAGATGTAGATTAAACCTCTACCAAGATATAGTCACCTTTTCATTTTTGTGTACTGTTGTCGTTTTCATTTTATTTAATCTTCCAGCTCTCATCACATAACAGGGTGACAAACACGTAACTAGGAAGAGAAATACATGGCCAACAACGAATGCTTATAGCAGGCTGTGAGGGAATGGTCATCCCCATCTCACTGCACCATTTGATCATAGGATAAATCAGGATGGTCAACCTACTCATGTTCAAAGGAAGAGTCCAATTACATGTTTCAGTGGAGTCAGCCCAGAATACTTAGCTTTTTTCAAGATCAAACACCAAGTAATTGTCTTCCCGTTGTTTTTTGTATGCACCATTCACACTAATTTGATGTTCTTATTAAGCTATGACCTGCCCCAGGTCCTGGTTACTGCATCAAGACGCTGTTTCATGTCCTGCCCACTCCACATATCGGTCACACATCAAAGAGCTATCAGAAAGGGAGCAAAACATGAAATACCATCAATCAAAAGCCACCTGAAAATTAACTAACATGAAGCTCACTTAATTAAAAACAAAAGCATAAATAATTTTCTCTCAGAAAGACCCTTGCCTCAAAACCATTACATTCAAATTACTCTGTACCCCAACAGCTTGTGATCAAAGCAACATCAAACATCATGATTTTTTTTAGAGCACATATTCTCTTCTCTACTTTCATTGATTGAAGTAATTTAAGGGATGTCTCTGCATACTTTGTCTTTTTAGCTACACTCCTTACTTCTCAGAAATAATTACTTCATCTTAAAGAGGTATTTTATATATATGTATACACACACACACATATATATGTATATATAGCGATGCCAGAGACACTCTAAGCAGCCTGCAGCCATACTAAGACCAGCTGTGGTGTAATCTGCTCCTAACGTCTGAGGACGGTCATTCCCAATCCCTGTTTGGGAGAAAAATGACCATTAAGAAAACAGCCCCAGTGGGTCAACTGATGACACTTTCTCTCACAGCAAGTCCCCTGTCACTTTTTGTAGTGACAGGCTATAAGATATTGCACTTTGAGCTGGAAGCGCTGTACAGTATTTTGGACTAGACATAAAACACTGGACACTGATGACTCTTAAAAGGTCCACAAGAACTCCATGTACAGGAGGAATTGTCCCTTCTATGCGCTGCCATATTCCTTTTTGGGAATTTTGCTAAAATCCTTTCCGCAAGTTTTATTTGAAAAATAATTTCTGAAGAGACAAACCTCTGTAAAGAAACTGCGAGCTACTTCAGCTGCCAAAATATAATAGTGCTTTCTAAGTTTTTCTTTAAAGTGCCAGGTTAGAAAGATTTTTCAGGTTGCAAAATCAAGCACCCAGAATCTTGGAAATGCCAAAGCTCATGTCATCTGAGCATCATGCTCCAGCACTGTTGCACCCAAGCCTTTTGACAACCCTTAACCACATTGCTGCCTGCTACTTTCTTCTACTGGACTCTTGCCTCAGTGTTTAAGTAGAGACCCGCTTGATATCCTTTTGTATTTTGTATATGCAGTGCACAGCCTCAAGATTTATTTATTCCATGCTACCAAAACTGTGTACAGAATGTAAAATGATTCATTTTCTCCTAAGCATCTCTGACAGAGTCTCCCCATAGTATCCAAGTTTCTTGTGACCACGAAATTGACTCTCACTGTGCTCCTCCAAGATGAGGTTGCAATAACATCTGTATTCTATAGCTGGGCAAAAGAGCGTCAGAAGGAAGGAAGGCACAACCTTTCTGTTAATTTTAGTAATACAACCTGAGGCACACAGCAAGCCTATTTCTCAGAGCCCTTCACTCTCTTTCAAAGTCTCCTTGTAATGGCCTCCCAGAAACCCATCCTACTTCACAGTGGACATGCATAGAATGAGGAGCCTGTTGTCACTGGCCATTTGTGAAAAGTTTGTTGTAAATCTGCATCATTCAGAAATTATGTCAGGGAAATTGAGGGGAGTCCTCCAGAGCAACATTCAACTGCCTTAACTGTAATAATATCTTGCTTTCTCCACTGCAATCCGCCTCATTTACTATACACCTTCCAGCTTGGAGGCAAACGAGGCCGTGTCTAAACATATTTCAGAGTTTGCCCACTGGTATAATGAATAATCTGCATCTGCCCAGAATTCTCTCCAGAATTCTGGAGAGAAACAGCCACAGACCCTTTTCCCCATGCCCCTAACCTGTCTCACTCACCTCTTACCTATCTGCACCCCATGTCCTCCTCCTTTTCGTTATTCCCATTCTGATTTCCCAGACATCTGTATGTCCCCTGTGCTCCTAATGGCCAGCTCCCATCCCCTAGCCCTGCTCCCCAAGTTCCTGCACACACTCTCTTTTTGCTTCTACTCCTTTGGCTCTTGCAACCTCTCTTCCCTGTTCCTCTATACGCCTTTTCCCCACCCATCTCCATTTGACCATGACTGCTGCTTCCCTTTTCTACTTGCCACTGCAGATCAGCTGCTGAGCAGCGCAGCCCCCCTTCTCTCAGCCTGGTGGGCAGGCCTGCAACCAGGATTAAGCACAGAGGGGCATAACTCCTCCGTGAGCATGTCCAGACAGAAACTTCTGAAAGCAAAGCTCTTGAATCTGAGGTGTCTCCAAAGTGCATGAGCAACCTCCTCAGCAGGGCACACTCAAGGGTACTTTTCTCAACACAGCAAAAGGCACCTCCCTGGTATTATGGTGACACTTTAATAAATGTCAAGCCTCCAAAACTTCATTCCAATGAAGTTCATTCCACTACCAGCACTAAAACGTCTCAGGAAACAACTGTTGGATTTATTTATTTTAAAGAAGGTAATTTAAAGCAGCACATTTCCCGCAAATCTTGTGTTCAGAAACAGCTGACTTTTTTGTTAAAGTTTTAACTAAAAGAAAAAGAGAAAGAATCAGTCAAAGACTTAGTCTTACCATGAAAGATTTCAGCCAAAACAATTAAAGTTTAGAAAAGCTACAAAGAAAACAATTCCTTATAGTAGGCAGTGACAGGTACACTTTACTCTGACTTTGCTTGTAATTAATAAATCTACCAAACATAATTGTTCCAGCTAAGCAAACATTTCCAGTCACGCTGATGTAAACAAAATCACTCATCTTATCAATTAGAAGTTAGTCCACATGTTGTCACCATCTCTCCATGCTGCTTAAAAGTGTCTAAGCATCATTCTTCTCCCAGCTTTGCCAGCTCCAAATTCTGGGCCCTGCCATTCCAGTCTGTGGAAAACTGAACCTGAATTCACCATTCTTCATGTTGCAAAGAGCATAAAAACAAGAACTGATCCAGCATCCCTCAGGGTAATGGGAGAAAACCAGGTGAGTGTCTACTGGCAGTGCTACCCAGATCACCCTATCTTACCATGACATCTCCTTCTCCTTCTCCAGCAGTTTCCAGATTGCTGGAAAGTTTCCAGTTTGTAGCCACACGGCTACGCAGCCTCCTGTCCACAGTGCATCTGCCCTGGAGCTGTACTCGGCAGGCACCTTGTAGCCCCCTTCCACACACATCCAAGACTGAAAGACAAACTGAAACAAGGACCACGTGGTCACTATTTCTAATTTTTCTATGCTAAGTTTTAAAACCTGTCCATAGGGATGCAGATACAATAGAACTAGAAACATAAAGCAGAAGTGATGTACACAATTATACATTATGTACTTGGGGGGAAAAAACAATCCCAAAACACGAGAATTTTTCAAAGCCAGCAACTGAGTTCAGACAGGTGCTTCCCATCTAAACTTTGGTAGCGATTATGGATCTACTGCTGGTTTCGAAAATCTAAAGCAAAAGGACCAAAAAGCTAAGAACCACTTCTAAAATAAGCAAGAAGAATAAGAGATGCTTTTACACAAATCTGAACATGGCAAACAGGATTGCAGTGGTAGAAATCTCTTACATGGGGGAATTATCAGCCACAAAACCACTGTTTAGTCACCCTACACTGACAATGGTATCTCTGGTTCAAGATTATATGAAAACTATTGCCTACATCTTTAAAAGTAAGCAGCAATTGTAGAGGTTTCTGCTTTGTCACATTGCATCAGAGCTACCTTAAGGGTGAGTGCTTCAGTCTTTCTCATAACCCGCTGCCATGAAGGTTCCCTTAGCTGGAACTTCAGGCATCCAAAATAATGTATTTGCTTTTGGAAACTTTGATCTAGGTTTATTAAGAGTGCAGGGTGCCACAGAGGAAAAAAAACAAAGGCAAGAACATATAATAATGGAGAAAGAGGAAGAAACAGAAGGGAGGAGCAAAAGAGAAGAAGCAAAAGGACTTCAGTAATTTCAGCATGTCAGCACAATTCATTAAGCTTAAAGGAGCCACTAGGAGTTGTCTGTGGTGATGGTGACAGTGCATCATCAAGCAGAGAAATGCAGAGGGCTCTTACTGCAGCATATGTGTCTGGCTGGCGTCCTTTTGTTTGTCAGGTACCTCGTAGTGTGGGGAAATCTTGCCGAGGCCGCTGTCGCTCAGCATCCTCTTTCGAACCGCAGGGTTCCACCGATCTGATATTCTAGGGAGGGAAGAAGGAAGAGAAAGGCATTTACCCCTCAAAAATTACCTCGCATGCTCCACTTTGAAGCTGTCTTATGCTTACTGGTTCCCAGCATTTTTCAGCCCATAGCAAGCTCAAATAGCTTAATTCACTATGAGTACGAGACTGTTCCTAAAGATGAATAGGAGTGTAATAGGTCTGCCCAGAGGATGAGAAGAAACAGAGACATTTCACCGTCATTCTTAGGCACAAAGGGCTTCAGGGCCTTATACAGTGGTATCAGAGTCCTGACCATGCAGAGGAGGGGTTTTTAACTCAATCAATACAGCTTTATGGCAGGGCAGATATAGTCAGGGGGTATGAGGAGGTTGAAAGGTGCCAAAGTCCATTAGTCTTGCTGTGTGCTCCAGGATGCCTAATGGAGTAGATGTTATTCCACTGTCCTTCTGTCATTACCATGCTGCATCTGATCCTGTCCCCAGCTCCCCACCTAAGATTTACCCTCCCACACCTCCCAGTCCTTCAGAAAAGGGGACCAGAAAAGAGATGCCCAGCTCTAATACGGCTGCTGAAAGCCAGATCCCACCACCACTCACCCAGAGGCCTTTCCTGGTGGCGTCCCCACCTGCTGTGACATTACCAGCTCTGGGTCCAGAATAAAAATCTCGTCCTGCGAAATTTCCGTCACAAAGTGCAAATGTTCCTGTTGGAGTGATACAAGGAACAAATACTGAACCTGCAGCATCACTGGTCTCTCAGAGCACCCAGCTGGCTATAGGAAAGCTGGGTGCACATCAGGGTCTCTGAAGAGCATTCATGGGACTCTGTCTGCGTATTTATTTAAGTGCACACATACACACACACACTAAAACCAATGCCGCTGAAGCCACCAATAAACACTTCATCGATTTCAAGCCAAACAAGATCCCCTACCAGCAAGCTTCACACTCACAGCAACTCTTAAAAGGCTGCTACTCAGTGACTCTATGTCATTCAGCTGAAAACTGGAGGTCTACCCAAAAAGCCGAGGTTTGCATTTCGAAATGAGGACCAACACCTAAGGTCTTCCCTCCAGTGATGGCTGATAGAAATTTTCATCATCTGGGGCTACTCTCGCAGACCTCCAATTGCTTGTGCATTCTGGTTTCACATCTCCGTTACCAAAGCTCTCTTGCTCAATCCCTCTTTTTTGTTATTGACACTGAAGGCTCATTGTCCTTCAAAAAACACCGAGTTGAGTAGGCCTGTCTACGTAGGCGAACGGGCAGGAAACTTCCCACCATTTGTGTGCTGGGACCATCACACAGTATTGATCTCTTCCCCACAGAAACACAGGGCAAAGGAGTAGGAGGGAAAGATGACCATTTACACAGAGTCAAGTATTAAAGAAATGCAGAATAAGCCAAACAGAGTCACATTGTCCAGTTTAACCTGTAGTAGCAGCTTCACCCTTGCTTTCCAAATGTTAAAGTACAACTTCATCAAAGCATTTATATGACTGTGTGCAAAGAAGTCCCATGGTAGCTACACGCAGACACTGAACCTGGGACCTCTGAACTAAAGCCACAGCTCCTTCTGCTTGAACTAAACCACCAGCTGCTTTTGCTAGGAAACAGTCATATGTTCATGTGATTCAGAAACAGCTTACACAGTGCTCACGGGGGCCAGACACAAATGACCACTGTGTGAAATCAACAGTTTGCACTTAATGCTGAGCCACTAATTGGCCTGTTCTGGCTACAAATCAGAAACACCAGAAGCTGTGTAAAATTTTCGAAGCCTCTTTTAGAAAATATAATCAGATTGTCAAATCTATACCACAGGTTTGAATCCAATGGAGCTACACGCTGTTTTGGGGGTTCCTTGGGAATATTTGATACAGCTCTGTTCATAATTCTCAACTTGTAACATCACCTTCATTTCCATAGCTATTCCATGTCACACACACAGGATCAAGACTTCTGGTGACTAAAATCATCAGTGAAAAGATAAACACAAATACTCTGGTGCCACACAGATGCCCTTAGTAAGACTTGATAAGGATGGCAAATGTAGAAAATTCTGATCTGTACATCAGATTGGTAGTAAAAAGAAGGGCAGATGGTCAGCAGATATAAAACTTCAGTGAAACTATGTGAATTATGTCAACTAAAAAATGGCCCATAATTTTTTCTCTACTTTTCATGAGACATCAGTGGCATTTTAGAATACACAGGAGGAATGGCACATAACTCATTTTAAGCTGCATTTGACATAGCTTAAGAAAAAAAAAATCTATAGAAACGGTAACCGAATAAAGATTTACCTGAGATCTGTCAATGCGGTAAAAACGATCAGCAGAAGTTGCTGCAAGACAGAGAAACAACAGAGCCGCAGTGAAGAAAATGATCTGAGCAGAACTGCATGGACAAGATGGGCTGAGCTTACCATGTAAGACAACCTCTGTGTCAGTGAAGTCACAGTGGTTTCACAAGAACATAATCCAATTCATTCATGATGTCCATATTCCTATCCCATTAAATGGTGAATTTAAGTTAAGGTGAGGCTTAACAAAACAATATTCACTGACATTATAAACTTGAAATAAATATTTTAAAAATGTATAAAATGGATTTCAGGCTTATAAGAAGAATTGATTACATTAAAATATGTGACAGAAAAAGCTGCATTGTTCCGATGAGAGTATAGCAAGCATATAATGAAATTGATGGGTCTAATAGGATTAATTCAAATTTTGAATCTAAAGAACAATAACATGCTTGGGAGCTCTTTGTAAATCAAATGCATGGCTACAGATATTCACCCTGAATTACCAACACGCTCAAGGAAAATTTATGCTACTCACGAAAAACACATGAAAACGGGACATTCACTAAATAAAGCACCTAATATGAATCTTGTCACTGCCAAATAATTTATATTACTAAACCCAGAAGCATTTTATCACCTACAATGTGCTTCATCAGATGCAATTTTTTTGTTTCTGCTTTGCATTTAGTTTGGCCAGTGAAATCAGATTTGTTCATTCTGAAGTTTTTGACACAAGAGCACAGTGATGCAGCTTTGTAGGTTTTGGCACTGCAAGGGAATATCAAATCCCTAAAGACAAAACCTGAATGCATCTACCCACCCAGCTTTCTCCAAAAAACAAACAGATTCTCAATATGTTTTTTATCAATTTCCCTCATGAGAGACAAGGAAGAGTGATTAGAAATTGCCAAGGAGAAATTGTTTTTGTTTAGAACAATTAAAATTTCAGTCTCCCCATGCTGAAGCTTTTGCAAAAGCAGATGCCATCCATTTTAGCTGCTAATTCCAGTGATCTGGAGCCTGATGTAAAGCCCAGATAAGCCGTCTGCTTTGACAAAGTCTGGGTCAAATACAAGTGCAGCTCTCCAGCGAGTTACATGAAGTTCAGTCTTAGAGGGAAAGGGAAGTACATTTCCGTCACCTAAACACTGTAGTACCCTAAACAATATAGTACTTAAAGAGAAACCAGAGTGAAAAACGCAGCCTTACCAGCAGCAGCAGCACCTTGCCACATGCTGCACTCTGAGTCCAGGCAATGCCATGCAGTAAGTGCTGGTCATCACAGCAAAGACACCAATAAACCAAACCTCTAACCACCCTTAGAAGAGCATGTCTCCTTGGGGTGACAAAGCTACAGCAGACATTTTGATTGCTAGATGAAGGGCCTGTGTCATTTTTCAGAGGGGAAAGGGGGGCACTCAGCTCCTTTTTTACCTGCTCAGTGTAACAAGAAGGAAGTTACCACTCCATAGTAATACTATGCACTATCCTTCACATGCACACCAGAAGCAAGCAGCATGCTAGGCACAAGAAAAGGGAGATGCACTTACCGTCTAGGAAGCACCATCTAGGAGAGAGCCTCTGAACAGAAAGTACTCTGGGGAAAGAGCTTTCCTGGTCCTGGATAGGGCAGGGAAATGACATTAAAAAAAACAAACAAACTGTTTTTTCTCTGAAAAGAACTATTTTCTAGTCTCTGCTTTTTTCATTTTGCTCTACTGACATTGCACAATGTGCAAAACCTACATTACCCAAACCCACTCATTGACATCAGGGTTTGACTATAATAGAGAAAAGAGTAAACTGATACGGTTAGCTTCAGCCACATCCTCAGCTATGCCCTTCTCTTCAGCTCAGCAATACCAAAAAGCTTTGCATCAAAAACAGCTTTCTCAGCTGTCTACAGCCCCCCTTATTTATGGGGACACAGAGAGACATGAAAGAGGTCAAAGATACACATCAGTATCAAAAAACAACCATGAACCCTAATTACTATGTTTGTTTCTTGTGTCCCTGTCACCTTCCTTTATTTTTTTTTCTCTTCCCCTCCTCTACCAATCTGCCACTCAAAGCAATTGCCCACTTTGCCTGCCTCTGGTGTGTCCCAAATGCGTATCAGGGTAAAAAATGTGTTGTCCTCTGCACCCAGAATACAGAGAGTGCAGACCTGGGGACCACCGCCGGCCAAGCAAACAGACATCCTACAACAACCTGTTCCCGTTCTGACTAAAAAGGCCTGCTCCTTGAGAGCCGACAGACGTGATTTCAGGAACCAAACCAAATGACTGGGGAGGAATGAAGACCTTCTTCCTGACCTGTACTCACCAAGGAGTCAAACAGGCTGCTCCTTGCTTTTTCAGCTCTCACTGAGCTGGAGAGGCAAAAGGATCTCAGAAAGCAGAGGGCGGTCATGGCTCTGCTCCATGCTGCCAGTGGATGGCCAGCCAACTTCTAAAGCCACTGGGACACAACGTTTAAACACAAATAGATTTGCACAGGACAAAACACAACAGCATGGATCTCGGGCACACATCCAAAATTTGTATAGAGCCAGATTCTATCCTTATTTACATCTTAAGCGGTAAAATCAGCACATCTGCAAATGATGTAAATTCAGGCACATACTAGCTCAAGATTAAACTTTACTCCTCTTTCAGAAAACAGACTACAGAGTGGTATACCAAATCACCAGGCAAGAAAAGAAAAAGTAGAAGCAATGGGGAGGAAAGATACCTTTGAGAAAAGTATTACTCTTCATGGAAAGCACAGAATGTGAATAATGTATATGTACATACATTCATAACATGGGCATAGATTGTCTGAAACGTTACTGCAGAAACTTACAGATTTCGCTTGACTATATATACATATATATCTTCTGATGCATGACAAAAATAAAACAGCCTCAATTCTCTCCCATATTTAGATTCCAGGATTTTACTTGATCCCATAAACCTTGCTCTCACACACAGGTTTTGCCTCCAACTTCTGCGCATTACAGGAGAGATGAAGGCAATGACAACATAACATTCCATAAAGTGACCTATTTCAGCACATGGGGACCAAATGACGTATGTCAGTGGTTTAAGCATCAGATTTAAAATACACCTACGTCTTTCTCTAATGTGGGCTTATGGAGTTGTGGGATGCTTAGATTTGCTTGTATCGCAACTGAGGTGTATGTGGGAGAGTCAAGGGCTTCCTGAAACCCACTAGGTTTGCTAATGTCTATGTACCTACATGCACAAAGCTTTATGTATCTCAGTATTTAGCCCACTACTTGTGGAAAGGTGAGGATTGGGATACAAAAGACAAAAGAAAGAAAACATCCAAAGATAACAATGCATACTAAAAAGGTAGATGATACAAAGAGGAGACATGAGTAAAAACTCATAGCCCTACCAGAGTACATAATGCTGGGAAAATGAAGATAGGGATAATGCTGGTAAATGTAAATTCAAGTCACAAATTGCATATTGTGGTATGCTCTTTCCAAGACTTCACTTCAGTTCAACTGCAGAACTAGCTTGGGAAGTCTCAGGCCCATGAGACTGATATTTTATAAGCATTAAACTCACTAGAGAATGAAAAACAACCCTCGCATCATTTTTCTCATTTGCACCTGGGCTTGCTGATGTTTTTTCTGCTGACACCCCACGTTTTGAGCTGCAGAGGAATCACGCAAGAGAACTGCATTTATGAGACCTAAAAGTACCTGTGACGCCTTATTAGTGAGGTAGGAAGACAGTTCCATCAACTCAAGCACCTCATTATGCCCTTTATCCCCTGCTTTTTCCCCTTTCTCTAATATGTAGAGGGATACCAACAAACATGGAACAAACCTTAAATTAACTTAACAAGACAGTTTCTAGAAATGACCCACTGAGAATAAACCAATATTTGAAGAATCCAGGATAACAAGTACTGAAGACAAAACACAGAGGGGGGTGCATTCAAAATGTAGCATCATAAAAAATTGATAGCATGTTAGACATTTCACACTGATGTGCCCTAGAGGAGATTGCTAGGCAATTAATTTATATACTGCTATAACTGCAGAGGTTAAAGCCAAATACGGGGCTGATTTCTGACATTTCATACTCTCTTTTGGCGCTCTCCATACATGCAGATTTAGCTCTTCATTTTACCTCAGGCAGTTTCCTACACTCGGAGCAGTCAGCAGCCAATTAGGTTAATTTATAATGAGTGGAATAGAATAATATATGCTGTTTTATTAGCCAATTCGCTAGACACTAACACTGCTCTAAAACTCAGTTCCAGGGCAATGATTGATACAAATGTCAAAAATATGAGGTCAAAATTGAACAGGGAAACACAGAAACAAACTGGAACTGGTACGAAGAAAGCAACTCCAGGAAAACACGCTAAATTGCGTTTTCTCATAGTGTCTTCCTGCATTCAACGCATTTACAGGCATTCTGGCCAAACTGAAATTCTGTATCACACAGGTGATCATGAAGTCCCAAGAAATTATCTGCAATTTCACCACAATGGGTTCCTGCCAGCTGGATCTCTGCATGTTTTCTCAGTGAATTCATTTCTGCTGACCCCAGCAAGACTTGCGTTGTTAAACCTAGGAAAAGGCTATCATCACCATGCAAACTTATCTTGTGATCCTAGGAGCTGTGTCAACTGACCATGGTTTGTGTCAAGTCTCTCCACTGATGTCAGATCAGCTCAGGAGTCAGTAGAGTTAGTTTACTCTCAATTTAAGCACTGCATTTATTTCAGTGAGAGAAATATGCATTCTTGAACAATACTTCCAACTGTAAAGCCAAGTTGTGTATTGCATAAACTGTACAATAAAGTTGTAAAATGCACAAAGAGACCAATTTTAAAAACTAGCCATCTAAAACTAGAACCTGCTTGTCACATGCAAAAGACACATTTGGGCCCAGGACGGATTAAAAAACTACTCTGGAGATTATGTTAAACTAGAGATAGATGACTGCAGTGCACAGAATTAAGAGGTTAGGCCTGCTAGCACACCTTTTTTTCTCAGTGATAGACTTTAGTACTACAGCTATGCAATATAACATGTTATTGTTCAGTTTCTCAGACAGAGAAACAATTTTACTTTTGTCATTTGTCCTACAGGACACATTCTCTCATTCACTTCAATATGCAAGGCACTGCTGTTGCAATACCGCTCGCATCACCACGCTGTGCTTATTTTAAAGATGATTCCGTAAGGTTTGCAAGAAAAAGGATTGTCCGAGAGAAAGCAGAACGAACCTCCAACATTTGAGGGTAAATGATAATCAGAAATTCATCTAACATATGGGTATCTAACATAAGAAAACCTGGGTTCAAATGCAAAGAGTGCAGTCCACATTGTTAAGCCTCTTTTTGTTCTGATACTAAAAGGAAAGCTTATCTTACCTGGTAATGAACTCTCTGTGTAGTAGAAGTTACTGCCTGTAGGTCCTAGTAGGAGGATGAAAGACATGCCGATGATGAAAAAAATTAAAGCAACAAAAGCTGTTTGTAGTTCTACTATCTGAAGTGGTTGGGCAAACAAATAATTTTGCAAGTACTTCTCACTGGTTTTAAGTATATTAAATAAACACCACAGAATAGTCATGGAAAGCTCACTTAAAGTTTAGATCTGCATGCATTTGGTAAAAAAAACGGTTTTTAAAATATAGAGATTATGTCACTGGATCCTCACCATACCACAGACCTATTTGTTCCATGAAAACGATCTAAATTTAGAATATCAGCAACAAAATGAAAGAAAAGATGCTAAAATTCGTAAATCTTTTTTGCAAATATTTCTGAGTAATTAATGCACTAAAGAGAACCACTGACAGCTCTCCCTGTTTTAAGACAGCCTCATGTCAGGGAGGTCATACCAGAATGACCCTGGTATTTAGCAGGGTTCAGGAATCAAATTTATTTTAATAAAGATTTTGTCACATAGTTTTAGCTCATGACATAGCCTACCAAAAAGCCTGGCCTACAGACCATAGCGCCCCAGTTGGCATGCAAGTTGACAGAGTGCAGAAAGCCTTGGCACCTCCATTCCCAGCAAATGGGTCTTAGCCAAATCAAGCAAAAATAAGTAGTACAAACCCTGCAAAATTTTGAAGAAACACAGTTACTCCACAACCACTATGGGTAATTCAAGCAGAACTTCTAGCTGTGCTTCCTCCAGGGCTGTACAACTACTCTCTACCCAATACTGGCCATATTAAGTTGCCTGAGCTCAGCCTGAGATCACATTAGTAATCTGCTGAGAACGTCATCCCTATTATTTCAATGTAATTTTCCATCACCAGATATCTCAAATATGCATCACCTTACAATATGGTTTTAGTCTGATAATAATAGCTACACCTCAAGGTCTGAATATTCAGAAATGCATTTGATGAAGGGAATCCTGGCTGAAATGCAAGAAAGTGAAAGCCTGTAGTCAGATACTAAGGCCCATATTCAGGCTGTAAGTGCAGAGTTTCAAAACCACAGGGAAGTCAGTGGCTCCCAGAGTTCAGTGGGAAGGATGAGGTTCATAGCTCCTACGTAAATTGGACCACCTATTTAGAAACCTACATAATGTCCTCACACTTGTAACTGTTGTTGAAACATACTAGTAAAAGATTAAAAACAGTCCGAGACAGTATATTAATGAAAACCCATTAGTTTTATCACTAAATGCATACACACTTAAAATATTCAGGTAATGGGGCATTTGGAGTCTCCATTTCCCAGACTATATTGTAGAATGAACTCTCGTGAAGCAAGGTGTTCAAGACAATAAGAGTAACGTTATTATTAGCTGCATGAGCATATATTTCTGTGTATTTGGAAATATCTAGCTGATATTTGTAGTGTTTATTGGTGTCTCAGATTACTCCATGACAGTATTAGAGGATGACATTTGCAAAATTAGACCCATTCGAATACCACAATGTTTATCCTTACGTAACACACTTTCTAATCAATAATTTGTGTAATTTCAGCTAAGTATGCGGAGAGTCCTGGTATTCCATTCCAATTCAAGGAGAAGTAAAGACACCCATCCACGTCAATTCTGTTATCGTTTAAAAGGAGTCAGTATGACTTTTTATTTCCTGTTTAGAAAATGTTTTTCAGTGCTACTCCTGCTTTTATTATCATATCATAACTCTAAAGTTTTGTTTTCAGTGGTAGGCAAACTGCAATACTCTTAATATATGGTTGTTGCAACTATTAGGCCTCTGCATTCAGAACTGAAAGAAGCATAACATAGATTAATATATGACACCTGAATTCACGAAAACCTCACCTCTTGTAGACGGTCAATGTACATACGACAGGTCTCCAAGTCACAATCTCCTCGTACCACTATAATTCCCAGGGGAATGGCTGGAAAATCAAAAACAAAGAAAAACCTCTTTAACTGAAGTCCCTTGAACTTTAAAAAATTTGCAGTATGCTTCATTTTTTTTTTAAATAATGTCTTCACAAAAGCTTTCTGCTATCTAAATCTTAACAGCCATTTAAAAGCAGGAACATATTATTCATCAGTAGTTTCACCCATCTATAATTATCAAAGATTCTGGTTTTCAACTGTCTTTCATACCGAAGAAGCTGAAACAGACTCAGTTAAATTGTGTACTTCGTCTGATGTCAACATCAATTATTAACTGTAAAGAAAGGAACACACCCCAGAACAAGAGTTTAGGGAGGTGCTCTTATACATTGAAATAAAAAAGTGATATTTCATTTTCAGAACTCTTAAAAGTCTACAAAAATGATTTAAAGTAATGAAAGTCACAGTCTGAAGTCACAGCCTGATTTCAGCGAAAACTTCCAGCACCATGTTATTTTGATGTAAGGCTGCTTTCAAATCAAAATAGACATTATTTCGTCTACACACAAAATTGACACAACATCTCCATATTTTCTCAGAGAAAAAAAGGGAACTTGTAAAAATACTGCAAATAATTCCCCTCAGCTGAGGGCAGTATTTTTAATAACAGGGGATTTAGGTTTCCACAACCATTCTGTTCTTGCAGCCAAAAAAAACCAAAACAAACCCACAAAAAGAACAAAAGAGAAAAAAGTATATGTGAGTCCACAAGGAAGGTACCAAGAGAGCTACCTACTAAGATCTCATTAAATAAAAAAGAAAACAAGTGAAAACTCTTGAGTCCCTGATTCTCTAAATCTGAATCACTGAATGAAGTTCTTTTTTCTCCCTGGAGGGTCTTTAATCAAACAATGGCCCAAAGAAGTAGGGGAGCAGCAGGAAAGAGATTTATATCCTCATATGAAGTATTCCAGAAGGAGAGCAGAATATCAACTCATAAACAATTTTGGTAACCGGATAACGAGAAGCAACATAAAGTCACTGACAGTTCTGAGATAAATAGAAAAAATAACTGTGCTGCAGCCCCTCCTGCCATTCAAAAGAGGTTGATTAAGAGGGAGAGAGATTTATCTACTGAGAAGCTCTTCATTCTGATAAGAGAATAAGACAGTGCTAAAAGATAATGGGGAACGTGGCTTATTTTTTGTGGCCCACCGAGGCTAGAAGCACAAAGAGAAGCTCAGTGGTCTCAGGGAGGAGGGCAGAGGAGCACCTACGGCAGTCACGGTCGTTATGGGCCTCAGAGGCCAGCGTAGGGCTCTGGGGACACATCAACAGTGCTGCCAGCATCATGTTTGGAAAGCAATTTGAACAGCTATGAACCCGGGAAAACAAGCTGGAGGGAGAAACAAGAAAATGAAGAAGGGATAGGCGGGAAGACAAGGGAAGAAGCGAAGAGCTCACACTTCTCCTGAAGCAACACTGACATCTGATAGTGATGCCAATGCACCTGCTCATTTTCAGAAAGGCCAGGAGGGAATGGTGCTCATTGCAACCTCCCAGATTTTTTCATTACAGAACAGAGACTGAGAGACAAGCGAGTGGAACGAGGGTTGCTTTACACACCCCAACGCTCTGGGTTACAGACTGATTCTCTTTGCTTAATGTTTATTATTGCTTAAACTGCTCTGACAGGAGACCCTTAAGCTCTTTGTAGCGAGTACCTAATGGCTATCTAGTTTCAATTCAGCAGATCCCTCTGCAGCCCTTACTGAAAGAAGCATTTGTTAAATTCATTTATAGCACTAAAAAGTGAATTGCAGCAGACATGATTACACCTCCAACAGCTACAGAGCACCAGGGAGCTACACCACTGGCTCATAAACCGTCACCACCGATTTTGTCTCTTTTCTATTGAATTCCTTCTTTCATGGAGGAGTATATGCACTTAATGGGGACCAGAGTTCTGACCTGCTGAAACGATGCAGATAACACGGAACTGAAATCTGGAACTATCACCATTCCTGACAGCCCAAAGGAGAAGGACCTTATGAACATTTGGAATTCTAAAGAAATCCACCGAAATGTCTGAAAGGAAAACACTAATATGCAATAGATAGTTTAGCAGTGACATTTATGGGCCTCATCTACATGAGTGAAGAAAAACATGATTTACAGGTTTAATTAAATTATGTCCCATCTATTCTTGGTGGTCATAGAATAATTCTGGAATTCTGGGCTGGGTGACTTTGTTCTTAAAAAGAGATGTGTGACTTTTGCTGCCTGGAAATCCTGAATTAGCACGACCTACAGCTTTATGGGTCAATGGCTGGCTAAGGGATAAGGTGCGTGAGGTGGGTCTCACATGGTTCCATTCCATATGGTTCATGCTCATTTGAAAAACCTTTTAAGTCATTACTAGATAACACTATAGTATACACTAAAATGTTGCTTGCCAAAGGTTTTTTTGTTTGGGCTTTTTCGTGGGGTTTTTTTGTTGTTGTTTGGTTTGGTTTTTTGCAAGACCTATTTGGCTTTCAGCAAGGAAAAAGTTCCCAGCCCTCATTTTTATCATAAACCACAGTAAGTACGCACAATGCAGCCAAAATTTTCAAAGTGCTTCACAATTGGTTGCTGTTTAAAAACAAAAGCAAATCCTTAATGACTGATAATGGGATTGAAACTATGGGATTGTTGCTCATTCTAAATATAGGGCAATGCTGTGCAATAGGGGCAAAATGAGGTAAGTTATGACGAATCAGTTAAAGGCATAAAGTTAACATGCATGGCATTCAATATCATTGTGGGCACTTTCTTTCAGGAATAAATGAACTTTTGCCTTTTCTGAATAGCCCTGTGTGGACGAGGATGTGGACGGTACTGAACAGTGTTGTGGGACACAGTGATTACTAGATATGCCAGATGAGAGATGGAAAGACAAAGCCTTACATTAAAAGCACAGGCACTGCAGAGCAACTTTCCCGTACAGCCATACACTGTCCATTCCTGTGAATATATGGATATATCCAGACATGGGAACATGCCAAAAATAAGGGATAGTCTCAGATCATGAGCCAAGCCACAGCATTCAAGTGCCAGATATTTTTCTCCCGAGGCGCCTGCTCTTCTGGCCTCTTGCATCCAGCTCCTGGTTTCTTTGTGCTCCCTGAATGGTGAAAAGGACTTTGTCCAGGGAGCTGTGGATACAGACTCCAATGCTGCAGTGATGAGCACCAGTGCAAGAACCCCGGGAGATGAGACAGGCAGGCAGTTGCTTCATATTCTGAACCAGTACTGTGGAAAGCTTTTTGTTCCCAGCAACACTAACCAAAATTGAGTATCAGCAGGAGGAGAGTGGGGTAGGTGCAGCAGTATGGCTAGCATGATGCTCTAATTGATTGCAAGATTAGTAGCGATTTCCTAAATCCTCATGAAATTAGCTATGGAATTTATAAACAAAGAAGAAATCTTCCACCTATTAACTGCCCATTAACTGCTGAATACCTAAAGCTAGTGAACTCATTAATAGTACTGAGAACACAAATGGAAGAAGCCTGAATATACTGCATATGACACCATGAAGAAAAAATAAAATTCAATTAACTTCCCCATTTATTGTTATGAAAGGATTCAATTTGTGATCTAAACACCATGATTAACCCACTCAAATCTCAAACAAAACAGCCTCTAGACAGATCATTAAGGTAGATGTGAATGCCAGGAAAACTCATTCCGAGTCTGACATACCTCAGGGGACTGGGGAGATTAGACTTTGGGTTGTAAATGTTTAATGTAGCAAATAAAGGATCCTCACTATTGAAGATGTTATAACAATGTCATTTTCCTGAGGGGTTTCCACTGATATTAGAAATGTGAAGGACCAAGTAAATTCTTGGGAGAGAATTCTAAAATTTATATTAAGAGGTTTGGCTTTCCCAGTATGGTTTTAATACAACTCAGTTTGTACAAAAGGATTTTCTTACCACACAAATCTAAGCCATGTGTGTCTTCAGATCCTTTTTGTTTATTATACTGACAAAAACTAAGCCTCCTTAGGTTCATTGGTTGCTAGTTTCCTTGGCACTAGTGGTCCGATTTTAAAATCTTCACATGTCAGGAGGTAAAACACAAAGGAGGTTATCAGACTAAACCAGACCACATTTGAGAAGGTGGTCATCCCTTCCAGGCTCTCAGTGACTTCTCCAACGCCCTGCCACAAAAAGAAGCAGCTGCCCAAGTCAAACGAAGAGAGAACTTGTCCCAAACACCACACAAAAGGAAACAGGTTATACAAAGAAAACCCTGAAGAGCTGGGAATTGAAACTGGCAGAGAATGGATATCAGGACTAAGAGCTGAAAGAAAAGGTCTGGCTGAACAATGAGTAAGGGTTTAGGATTAAGAAAAGGAACAGGACCCTGAGCTGTGAGACCTGCAGAAACAGACTGAGACAGGCAGGATGGATATGTGTGGGATAGGATAGCCAAAGGGGACAACCAGGTCTGAAGAGTAAGAGGAAATCAAATCAGAAAAGCAATAGGTAAAGAAATGGGAGAAGTAGCATATGCACAGAAAAAATCTCACAGAAAAGTCTATTCCAGAAAGACAAACTATAGCATGATTTCCTGGAAAGTCTGAAATGGAACTTAATATTCTTGTGTCTCCCCACTCCTCTAGGGTAAATATATATTTACACCTATTTAGAATACTGTCCATCTCTTCTAGTTTAAAGGAGACGGCAAACTTAGAGGTGACAGTTTCCCCTAGTTCCCCCTGACTAGCTCAAAAGGCAGAGGACTCTGTTGAGTGTAGATATGCCCCATCTGGAGTCAAGAGAGGGTCGATTTAGATTAGATATAAGGAAGAAATTCTTGACAAGGAGGGTGGTAAGACACTGGAACAGGTCACCCAGAGAAGTTGTGGATGGCCCCTCCCTGCAAGGGTTCAAGGTCAGTGGCTGATCTAGTGGAAGATGTCCCTGCCCATGGAAGGGGGCTGGAACTAGGTGATCTTTAAAGGTCCCTTCCAACCCAAACCATGCTATGATTCTATGAT